AATCGGTGATAAAAGTCATCCAACGAGAAACAAGCCCTTATTTTAGGTTGAATCATGTGTGACTGATTCCTAGATATTGGTTGCTGGATTTTGAACAAAATTTCGTTGAACTAATCACTTACGCTTGACTTGGTCATAGACATTTAATTGAATAAAGTGAATTAAATTTTTTGACTTTTTATGTGAAATAAGAATTAGGTATAGGAGATAATCGTCCGCCATTAATAAAACTTGACAGCGCCTGTTATAAGTCCCTCATTTATAATGTGAATTATCATTTTGTCACAATCGGTTGTACAAGAGCAATAAATTGAATGATAGATATTGGAATCGTTAAATGAAAATTAAATTTTATATTGCATGTGAACTCAATGGGGTCGATAACGTACATTTGCATCACTTTGACAGGACGCGCAAGTACATCAATTTTAAATACACGTTCCTGAGATTATTTTAAAATTACAGTAGCTGAATTGCACTGTGTATTGTCAACTTGGATGGAGACCAATTTGCCAATTAATGTACATCCGACTGGATGGTCCAAATCATCATTTTACACTTGGTTTTAGCAAAGTTTTAGTTAATTAACGCTCCCATTTGTCGTCAAAATTTTAATTCAATACGCTCGCCCGTTCCAGCGGAAAGAACTGTTTTTTTCCAAGGTTACAGTACCCTTCGATAATCAACAATTCCTTGAAAGGCAAACATTTGGATCTGTACAAATATATCAATAACAAGAAGAGTCGGAAGAGTAAGTGCTTCGTTGAAATGTCTGGTGGGTGATAAACGAGTCAACAACTGACAGAAGTACTAGTGAAAAAAGGCAAATTTTTAAGCAATGCGTGCATGGGATATTTCAAATATAAATTATTAATGCTGCTGTCATGTAATAGGCTAAGAAGCACTGAATCGTCGAAAATAGTTTGGCCACGTTATCGCCAGCAACCATATACTGAATTTTTAAATTTCCACATGTTGCCACGATGAATTGGACAACTTTTTTCGTAAAAACATGCACATAAATAGTTTGATATATTCATGTATGTATGGAACGGTCAAACGAATATGCAATCATAATATCAAAATAACAAAAAATCATTAAATTTATCTGAAAAAAAACTAATTTTGTTTTAAGCATTTTTTCTTTATTTCCACTACATTATATGGTAACAGTTTCCAAAACTTGAATAGTGTCTTCCATATTCAACTTTGTTTACTGGATTGTTTGATTCGCTCAATTTAATATTGAGTACCCGAAGAGGAATGTCGAGGATTTACGTCGATTAAAACAAAATTTGATTTAAGCGGGAAATTTAAAATCGATTTAAATCAAAACATAATTACGTTCTAATTAAAATTGCTTGATTTTGCGATTGCGCTAACTGTTCAAATCGGATCCACTGAATGATTTGGGTGAATAATAAAACAAAAAAATATAAATTTATCGAAAATATGTAACACAATAAATGCATTGGATATCAGAATAAAAAATTCCGCTAAAAATTTGCTAATAATCGTTTTAAATAATTTGCAAACTAGTAGGTATTAAATTATAAAAATTATTATAGAATAACCTAGGTCATTTCAAACCTCATATTTTTCCAATTTTGACATGTCTCATTGCCATCGATTTGAAAATATATATTATAGTTAGATGAGCATTCGTTTCGGTTGGTGAAAATTTATATTGTTGCGTATACGTGCCCTTTGTTTGTTTACTCAGCATGCAAATAGTACCCATTCAATTCAGAATGTCTATTTTATAATTGATACAATTAGCAAACAGTTTATCTTTGTATTAAAGCTCAGGTATATCTCAAAGAATATTTCTTTAGTATTGAAAATATGAGAAATTGTTATGCAATACGATAAACACGCCCATGCAAAATTACTTTAACCCTTTTACGTATTAGCTCATGTTATTTTATCGATTCGGATTTTTTTTGTCAATTTTGAGTTTAATTCAGAACATTAAATGATAAATAGTATTAGGCACGGATACGCACCGTAAGGAGCAGTCTGCATATAAATCTGTTTTGAAGAACATTAAACATTATATCAAAATACTAAATTAATAGATATTATATATACCTCACAAAATTTTCCGTAACGGCTTTTAAAACAATGTGAAACAAAAAGTACCATATCGATATTTGATCGATATATATCAATTGGTAAGGTGAATCTTTTGTTGAGGAATTCGAAAATTGGAGAAATCAGACCGGATGCGGAAGTGCGCATTGACATTTTTAAAGGAAATGTACGCTTTTTAAATACGTCATCAGTACTACTCAACGGCATTGTCCAGACAACAATAATTTTTTGACGTAAAAGCGCAAATAAATGATTTCTTGAAGTAGACAGGTAATGTTTATACAGCCAATGATGTACAACATGAAGCTACGGAATATTTGCTTACTTAGTGACAATAATATCGACAATGGCGCCGAAAAGATGTGACGTAATCATCGCACGATCATAAATGATATCAAACCAAACACGATCTATACATGGGGCATTTATGGCACGTAACCGCAAAACTACGAATTGTTTGAATAAGACTAGGATACGTTGTCAAAACAATTTTGAAAAACTTCAAATATAGCTTCTGATGACGTTATCTCGATCATTTCACCAATTTCATGAAATTTTGATCAGACAAAAGCGGTGATCGCTAATTTCCCAAAGATGACGTTTATTGTGCCTTGGTGTATTTGTTTTAGATTATTTCTTTTCACGCTTTGTGGTCATGATTCTCCTCCGACCGAAACCGTTTTTTTTTAACTTATTTTCTAAATCGTATTCAATCTAGTTTTATAACAAATTTCTAGTTTTACAATCCACGACTGATCGAAAGCCTCTAAATATCCCACCGGGATCATTTTATCTCTCTCAAGTGATTCTACTGAAATTCAAAACGGCTTTTTGACACTCAGATAATTATGCGAATATTATTCCAATAAATTATTTACTTCTCCGAGGGGAAATACTCAAATAATGTCGAGCACGTAAAGTTCACATTTGTATAATCGATATATTTTTTAAAATTTTAGTTTTATCAGTGGCATTGATAGTTATCAACCATAGTCTGTAGCAGGGCTGATGGATAGGGAAAATTTACAACAGACTACGACTCCAGCTCCGAGAAAATCAAGTTTTGATGACAAAATTGATGACGTATGCAAGCCCTGTTCTAGAGACTGTTAAAAAGCCTCAGTAAACCCTTGCCGTTTTGTGTATGCACCCTCAAAGAAATTCCTATGTAGATCATGAGTGGCAACCTAAGGCCCGCGATTTGGACACGGCCCGCCAGGCGAAATCATCAGGCCCGCGAGACATTAATTAGTTATTTTAAGAATGAGAAGGAAGGAAGTCAACACTGAAGATAATATTTCTAATAAATTAATATGGGTTGCAACTCACTCCTTTATTTACTTTTAACGTCTGTTACTCATAATCGTTTATTAACTTTCGCGTTTGTTTTACTGAAAGCCTAGTTCTGGAGGGAATGACAAAAAAATGCGGTGTCGGCTGCGGGGCAAGAATTAATTAATATTCGGAAATAAGAAAAATTGTCAAAAGGATAGTTAACCAATGCTCTATGGTCGGCAGCCGAAACATTCAGCGATTATGAAAAAATCAGCAGTTTTTTCGTTTTCTAGTGATTTCCAAATTGAGTATCGACTTTCAGCGTCTTGACCTCAACTCGATTGTAAGTTAAAACTATTTGATATTCGTTAGAATATTCTAATTATATAATAAAATATTTGAATTTGCCCACTCCTAGATATTTGGTTCGTATGTTAATCCATAATCAAAAAGACATGGCAAGTTGCAGCGTTTATCAATGCGAAATGGAATGCGTTTCTCACGTGACAATAATTGCGGCCCGCCAAAACGTTGTAGATTCGACTTCTGGCCCGCGACCAGTTGCCGACCCCTGATATATTATAGATGATGAATAGGTGAATATTGGTGCAGTACCATGCTACAGTCGTACCGCTAGTAGCCGACCACAGATGTAACGTAGGCCGAAACGTGTAGGGAGAAAATAATTAGTGAGGCGTGTTTTGACGCATTTTCCGTAAATTTTGTCGATAATTTGTTTATAAATTGAAACAAACAACTATTCTAAATGATGATGTTTTTAAATTCCATGAAATTTCTGGTAGCAAATCATACCACGAATTTCCGGGCGAGGCTGATCAAAATATCCCGAACGTACATTCCCCGCACGACCACGTCACGGTTCGCGTGATTGTGGAAAAGCAACACCGCAGATTTTAATCGAAAACTACATGAATTGTAGCGAACGATTTATTTGCTGTTTCTAAAATACATCATATGCGCAAATCTGCGTATAGATCACGAGCAAATTGTGCCAGCTAGATCTCATATCTATTTCATAGTAATTCTAGCCGGGAATTTTCTGTGAATTATTTATTTTTCGTGAGCATTACACGACTTTAAAATTTTTCACAAGTCTCTACTAAATGAGTCATTCTGTGGGCACTTCAGTTTACACCCCTCCTCTCTCGATGGACTTTCCCGAAATGTAATTCGCTGAAAAACACTTCGACAACAACACGTTTATTTTTGGAACCCCGTATTGGGTCACTTTGCAAATAAATCTCCATAGAAAGTCCCACTTTAAGTGAGTAAAGGCATTCTCTATGATAATATAAGCCGTAATTGGAACTGGAGCCTTTGGGAATTTATTAATACAGACTAAAATATAGGCTCTTTTATGTGTTAAATGAACAACCTTTGTTTTGCTATTTCAGGAGCTTGTCTTAAGCTAAGCTTAGAGGTTGAGGTGTAAAAACAATTCAGAACTCGTGATATGAATTGGATGTAGAAAGAAAAATTGTTTGGCCAAATGCTTTCTATTATTCACGTTATTTATATAGAAAAACGCAATCTGCTTTCTAATCTGATCGTATCGACATTTCCAACCCACACGACAACCATACACCACCATAAACAAATATACAAAAAAATTTCTCGGTAGCAAAATTATCCTCTTTATTTATAAATTGATTAGAAATTGAATATATATATAGATAGATATCAGTAACAAAGAAAATAAAGAACAGACGAAAAAAGATTTAGAACCGTGAACGCTGCAATGTATATCAAGCAGTACAACAAGAAGATTGCGTAAATAATCGATTGGTCAATGATGATAATACGAAATGAAAAAGTCGATAAAGCAGCCGTTTTGACTGTGGAACATTGTTAAATCATATATGACATACAACACCGTGCACGCTGGAGTGATCAACTCGCAAACGCTGGCCATTCATTGCCCCAGCCTTGAAAATACACAATCATAAATATGTATATATAGAGTATACTATAGACAAACTATAAATAAAGTATATAATCAATAATTCGAGCAGGGCTTATGAGACGAATGCTTACCTAAGGAATAAAAATGGCTAAATGTGCACCTATGCAATGCTGAAATGACCAATGTAAAATGACAAAAAATGTCATTGCCGAGTACGTAAACAGACAAAAGTCAAACAAAAAAACGGTACAAATATATCGCTAAAATAATAACAACTAGCACCATATATCGCAAATAAATGCATAAAATTAACAGTATTAAATAATAATTGTAAATTACAATGAAATACGAATATGCGCAAATTGCATTATTCCCAAAGAAATAGCAGTACCCGAACCAAAAACCCCACGATTAATTGAAAAGAGGCCGTGGTTCGCTATATGATAAAGTCATCGTATCGCCCCTTCTCTCCCCCGGGATAAATATGTACATCCTATTCTATTGCAACAACCATTATTACAAATTATACAATTAAAAACCAGCAACAAACAAACCATATTGTCAAAATTGAAAAATAACAATATTCGAATACTTTGTAAAGTTTTGGTCGGTATTGAAAGTGCATTATTGGAATTTAAAGTATTTCACAAAACTGTAACAATTGGCAAAAATGATATAAAAAATCAATGGTATTTCAAATATTCAAAAACTGATTCAGTCGTCCTATTTTGGTGAAGACTTCAAAACGAATATACGCATGTGTCATTTTTTAGTGAACGGCTATTTTTAAGAGGGAAAAGCTTTTTTTTAAAGGAGATATGCCTACCGATATAGGCTAATTTGGCCTCAGGATAAGCCTCAATATTGATTTTGCAACAATGTTAAATGGGCAGCGTAGCGAAAAGTCGCGCTGAGATGTGCAAACATGATAAGACTGAAAGAAAATGATTGATTGATAACTAAAGTAATGCGCGGGACACGCTCATTATAGGTAAAATATAATTTGAAGCGAAGTTCTAGTACAAAGGTGCGACAAACTCGAAGAAGCAGGGACCAAACGCAGTACATTTTATCAATAAAAGATGATCAAGCATCAACAAATACATGCATAATACATAACGTTTTGAAGACGAACACTGTACGTATACAAGAATTTGTTGATGACCATAAGTTGGTTACGAAAATGGCGCAGAACTTGACACCGGTAAATGAGTAAACTCGTTGTCTTCGGTAGGAAAGTTACATATCAATTATGTCTACTTCAAAATAGGGTCGTAAGATGCTTTTTCGGATTGTGTATGCGAACAAAATGAGTACGAATAAAATTTCAAAAGTAATAAAATAATACTGCAAAGTACTGTGGACAGAATATAGAAAATAAATTCACTACAAGATTGCGTTAAAATAAATACGTTCACTAATTTTGCACGAAATTAACTTCGTTGACATAAACAGATGAACGACATGTGATACATACACTGCTATGTATTAATACCTCGATAATTATCTATTCTACAACACAAGATTAATGCAATACGCCTTGAAGGATTTGTGATGAAAAAAGTGTCCTAACAAAATAGACTCTGATTGCAAACTAAAAAACATCTCTACAAGACAAAAATCAGATAGAATAAATTAAGAGATGCAGTTGTATCGACAAAAAAGGCAAAATCAAAACTCCATTAACTCAAAGGGTACGTACAGAAACCCAAACTAGATCGAGTATGATAGAGTAAATTTTTGATTCACGGTACTATTTGGGTAATGGCATTTACCCAATTTCAAGTAAAGACAATAAATATAGTCGAAATTTTATTCTAATTTTTTTCGTGCGGGGTAGGTTGCCAAAACCCCAGTAAAAAAATTATTTTCGGATGGATGGTTAGGTTACCAAGTGTCAAAGGCTTCATATGACACGGAATCTGCCAATTATTTCACCTTTGTAGAGTAAGCTGTTGGGTTCTCACGGTAGGGTAATATTTGCTAACCTTAAGCTTGCACGCAACAATGATAGTTTGTTTAGTAAACAAAAAAGTCTTCTTCATGTGTGACCCATAATGTCATACCAAATATCCAGTTATAAAACTCGAAATAGTTCACTGGTTTATGGCTAGTGTCCAAGAATTTCAGCATGACAGCGAAGTATAATTTGATAAAATAATGAGATGAATTTCCATTAATTAATTATCAAATTAATTGAGAATCAAGAAAAAATGGATTAGAGTACTAGCAAGGAACATTAAAACAGAATGTTACACAATCATATTGCTTTTTATATGCGTGAATTGAATTATCATCCATTACCAATTCATTCATTATTATTCATTCAAACAACAAAAATCAGTCATACACTTACTTCAATAATACATTATTTTTAATATTCAGAAAACCACCAAGCTATGAAATGAGGTTATATAATTCTTTTCTCTAATTTGATTGAAAAAGTGGATATCATATTTGGCATCAGATTGAAAATATTGTTATACATACTACCAATACACATGATTATATATAGTATGGTAGAAATGGAGAATTCATTTTTTATTGATGAGGGCTCTTTAAAATTCAGAATAAAAAGAATTCCAAATAAATGAATTCAAAGAACTGTTTTTGAAAAACTGGGAAAATAAAACCACCTACTTGATATTGAAACTAAGAAACGGTAACATTATGCAAATGAATTGTCAATTACGCATTCAAATTTTAAAAAATATCCTGAATCGAAGCCATAAGATCAAAATATAATCCAATTGAAAATAATCTGGAGAAATACGTTCTGGATATGTAGGCTACACTTCAACATTTAACGAAAAATGTTACTGAATTTCTTATGTCCTAGGTCCAATCAGATTTATAAATAGAGAAAGAAGAATAGCAGTACAACAGGCCAAAACATAAATAAACGTATTCAATCAGCACAAATGCTAATTTCATAATACCGTAATTGGAATAACTGAGCTAATAATACGAACTACAAAATTATTTATATTTAAACGACTTTAAGATATAGGAAGAATCGTAAGATCTTAAAATTATAGGCTTGAATCAAGTAATACTGTTTTTTTACTACGTCATGTTCACAGCAATTATGTCTGACTATGTTATTAAAACTAAAATCAGTTTAGAAAATACTTTGAAGAGATTTCCACGAAACATGACCCTGTTTTAGCCATATTGATTTTATTGTATTTTTTTAGTAATGCTAAAGAGCATAATGTATGTCAAAGCATACAAGCCAAAAGTTTGACCAGAGACATTATTCTATTTGCCTTCTAAGAAACTTTTAACAACAAGGTCGAATTTGAATTGAAAATGTACAAGAAAAAATCTCTTAGATATTCCAAACCAATATAAGAATCTGTCACTATATTATATTGCTTAAAAAATCAATACTACATCAGGCTAAATGGCATGGAGAAATTACCGGTATTACTATTATTATTAATACTGATTGATTGTTTTAAAATGATAATAAATATCTAAAAAGGAAGACGTCAGATCGCGGAATCCGGTATTAGAGTTTTTTTTAATCAATAGTTCTATATCAATTACTAAGTTTCAAAATATTAATTTTTCCTTTTTTGACATGCAAAAAATATTATGACACCATGACAGCGGGTTTCCAACAAAAATCAAACAAGAGACTTTTCTTGTCAACTTCTGTTATGTAGGGATGTTCTAAGGATTCAATTTGAGAAGAATTTGTCACTAATGAAAGATATTTCAACCAAAAATTTATTTTGGAAAATTTAAAAATTCCTGCTATTCATACAGATTTACCTTTATAACAAAATTATGTATGTCTAATATTATAAACATGAGATGTATCGCAATTTGGTGCATATGTGAATTCAGACTATTTGTAGTGAATTAAATAGAAATTATGGTAAAAAAAAACTAATCAGGAAAAAACATACGCTGAAAATGTACCATGACAATCATTGAAAATGTGAAACATGAAAATTACCCAAATTGTGAGAATTCGATAACTACCGGTATATTCAAAAAAATATACACAAATAAGTATTTATACTTATTATAGCATTGTATATCAATGGTATATAAAATTCAAATTCGATATTCCCAACCACAGTCATGTTGTGTATCCATTAACATTGACCACATCAAAGATACTATTGCACATAACACTCTTTATTCAAATTTATTTCTGTCAGTCTTATTTGAAATGTGTGCTCATGCTTCAGAAAAAAAAATTGATTTCCATCCAATACAAATGAGAAGGCCGAAATCCTGATGCGTGGTCGCATTGAGCCACAAAGCAGACTTGGCATTAATTATTTAGGGCGATAAGGATTATGCATTATTCCTACTTTGTGACGTTAAGGTGCCGCAAAATAGCTGTAAAATAAGCTCACAGGGTGCGGTGGGCAAACTTTTAAAATTTGACTTCACTCAAAATAGCACAAAGTGATAAGAACAAAACATGAAGAGTAAAAATAATCTATCAGCAAAGTCTGCCACAACACAAGGAAAAAAAATTGAAGATCTGTTTGTAACACCAAGGCACTGCTATCCTATATTTCATGATATGGAGTCATAATCAGGTTATCAAATTTGGAATTTGGTCAAAAATTCAATTTGAAAGCCATTTTAATATAATATCAGTTCCAAATTCGAACTAAATTTTTCTTCTATAAGTCCTTAAAAACACTGTTTAGAAATTAGGAAGCCTAGTAGAAAAGTTAAATCTGCATCCAACTGGTAATCGAGATAAATAAGGGGAACACTATTGTGGTGCCAGAACATATTAATAATCTAATACGCCATGAAAATTACATATCGTACCATTCATGTTGGGTTGGTGGTATTAGCGTCTTCCAAAGAACGTTCCTCCGATTTAAGTCTAACGAATTCTTTTGCGACCTCATCTCCGGTTCTTTGTGACAAAATTCGAAGTATCATCCACCCCGTTTCACTAATATGTAAATTACGGCCAAGGACGCACCAACATGCGCAAGAACCTTGTTGAAATATCTCCCGTAGTTGCATTACAGCAACGCCGATAATTCTATCTTCTCGTAAAAGACAATAATCCTTAACACATATTTGCAGTTCATACATTTCTGGGCTGGCCTCATTGCTCAAAATAAAATGAAATGTTTCGTTGTATTTTGGAGACCAAGCATTGTTTCTTGTTTTAGTGGCGAATCGCCGCTTGCGAGCACTTAAAAACGGCCCCACAATGTTAACTTCAACAAATGGTCGGAACATTCCACTTGTACGCCATTTTAAATTGTTTGCAGAGACAACTTTCACAGTGACTTTATGTTCACCAGTTCCAGGATGAGTGAAAAGGTCGACCTGAACACTAACTTCACCTTGAGCATTGTCGACGCTGGGTGCATCTTGTGTTGTTTGTGTTTCTATAAATGTTTTGATAAGAGAATCAGTGGTTTGTGTGTATAACGAAAGAGCATATTTTAACGACTTTAACTCAGGTGTTTTATCCAAATAATTTTTGCGAAGACCCTTGCCACCAGCGTGAAAATATTGTTTCAATGAATCTACTGCGGCTGTCAATATGACACATTGCTTTGGTGTAAGACTTCTAGTGCTATCATCCCTCGAAGCATCCTTGAATTTCGAAAGGTGACTTAATTCTTTAGCAGCTGACAGTAACTGAAGTGAAGTTTGTCCACCCATTGGAGGTAAGACCACAGTTTTTTCTGTTTTTATCATAACAATTCGCCAAATTTCTTTTAAAACACGTTTTAGCACAGTCTTTTCACACATCTCATTAAACATACCAAGACAAGCATCAAGCAAGTCCATAAGAGGTTTTAAAACATTGTCAGCCTCTTCTGCAATGTTATCACGTGCTCTTACTGATGATACTGCGGTATTGTTGGAGCCTTTGATTTTACTTAAAAGACTTCCCATTGATTTGATGCCGTCCTCTATTCTTCGGCCATATATTTTACCAAATATTTGACCGACTTCGTCAAGTCGGTTATTTAGTTTCACCTGGAGTTCTTTCAGCATGTTAGATGCTCCTTCATCCAAGACTGAACCGCCCATTACCTCATAAAGCTTTTCAAGTTGGACTCGAAGCTGTTGAAGATTGTTCATTAAAATGCAAGCAACTTTATCTTGGTTGCAAAGTTGTTCAAATTCAGTCACAACGGTTTCAGCATATCCTTGTAAAACCTTATCGACAGTGATTCCAAATCGTCGCATGTAACTACCTGTGACAGCGGGATCAGGGCATTCAAGTTTTCGAACAATATCCAAACTTTGGTTGAGTTGCGTAAATACATCAACGACGGAACAAGAGAACAACGCATGATGCGAACTTTGTTGAAAACCATCTCGTTTGTCTCTTTCATAAGCTCCATATAAAAATTCTAATGAAAGCTTTTCATTTTCATTTAACCAATCTAGAGTGAAAACTTCAAACCATTTTGAATACTTTGGAACAGAATTTACCATAGAAGGTAAACTAGCTACATATTCTTTGTACAGCCATTTTACTTTGAATTGAAGGTTCATATAGTCTGCAGTTTTGCACATACGATGTGGGGCATGTTGCTGTAATGCATTGTGAAGATCTTCGGTAAAGAGGTGCCACATTTTTCTAGCACTGACTTGTCCAACATTAAGCTCATTTGGAAATTGATTCAAAACATTTGAGTATGTATTCTTATCCTCTTCAATAACAGAAACAATTAATGTGATAAGATTGGACCAGAAATCAAGAGATTCTAGAGATGAAGGCCCAACATCTTCCGCATTTGGCTTGTTTGAGGCAGCATCATTCGTAGCACTCTGGTATTCTTGAGAGTAAATTTCCCCACAATTTCCAAAGATATACATATAAGTTGACTCGACACAGGCTTCACAGCAATCACGAACAACTTGACTGGCACGTGGAGGACTTTGCATATCTTGAACTTTCATACGAAAGAATGTTATGCTTGTCAACAGATCTACGGTAGATTTGAGATCTGACAATTTATCAGGGCTCGAAGCGGGAAAATGCTTTCTATATGACGAAAGATCAATGCGTAGCGAGTTATGCAATTGATCAAGCAACTTGATGAAACGCTCCTTCCCAAAGTTAGAGGCAGCAAATCGATCGTGTGCAGACACTTGCGCAGATGTCGAAGTGTGAGCGTAAAAGGCGTTGATGTTCGCTAGTAAAGTACTCATTACAGCTGGAGCACTAGGGCACTTGTATTTAGAAGACAAACACGAGAAATGAGTCATAGCTTGATATATAGCTTCAATGCCATACCGCATTGCAAATTCATCTACTATTTCCTGACTATCTCTATCAAAATATACTTTCCATGAGTCTTCTTCGCCATGATTTTCAGGAATTTTTAGCATATCATTATTGTTTTTACAAATATAGTGAAAAATATTTTCATGAAGACATGTATATTGAACATGATATGCAGCCACCTTTTCTTCGCCTTTTATTTCAACACTAATTCGAAGTCGAATAGCACCAGACACAGCAGATTTATCAGTACGTTTTTCCAAATTATACCAGACATCCATTTCTCCTGACAACGTTCTAACTTCGATTATTGTCTGGCCAAGAAAATCATCAGATTCACGTTTGAGTCGTTGTTTTACCAGTGACTTAATATCATCATCCTCGTCCCAAACTCGAACTTTGATTCGATCGGTAGAATTATGACATTCGAAGAAAAATTCTTCATTCCATAGTGGATTTAAATCACCATAAATAGTTTTTGTTCTCTTTTTAGTTTTGCCAACTTGAACTGTGACATATGGATCGCTTGACCCTGTTTTATCCTTTGCTTGAAGGCCTTGTGCACTTTTCACTTTGATTTTAATCTTGGCTGACCATTTGGATGTGCCATCCATTACACCTTGTTTTGCGAGAGAAATATGCTGCTTGTGAATATCAGGAGATATTCCAAATACATTATAAATAAGTTCAAAAATCTCTGGCTTATTTCTCTCACGAATTTTCATGCGTTCATTCATCGCAGTAATGATGCTTTGTGTTTTATCTTCAGCACCATGTTTAGAACTTTTTTCGGCAGCTCTTTGTAAACAATCTGCATTCAATAAGTCCTGGCATTTTTCATGACATTTGACGCCACATTCTGTGCATCTCATGCCTTGACGAGCGAGTCCCCACAGTAAACCCTCGCACTCGTAACAATATGTCGGTGTAGTAGCAGACCAGATCGAAAACTTATGTGGAGTGGTGAATGAAATAGGATAAATCAAAGCTTGTAATGTTTTCTTATAAACATGCATTTTCAGATCATCATCAGTTAGAGAAGCACGAGAGTTAACCAGGGCTGAAGTGATGCCCGGTTGGCGCTTCACTAAAGAAATGGACATGTCTGTACTGGCCAATGGAATAGATTTTTTGCGCAATTTGATATTTGGCTGACTGTCTATGCTTTCAAAAAAGCTCTTATTACCACTTATCACATTCCATATTGAAGGCTTACGGTTTGAAGTCAAGTCTGCGACAGTATCACTAGGTTCGCCTTCTGTGCCAGTGATCTGCATTCGAACCCGATTGAAAACATTGATCCATCTCATTTTGGCATGAGAAAATTCATATTCCTCACCATTCGAATTTATCGATTCAGTTTCAGAACCGACACGTTCTCGTTTGTGTTTCTCATCTTCTATTTGGTGACGCTCAACTTCGGTGTATTCGTTATCAGGATCAGTTGGCTTATCATCACTAGAATATCGCCTTGTGGCAATCGAATCGTGATTATAATAATGAGTTGTATTTTGTTCCTGAAAAGATACTCTTGATTCTGTTTCCGATCCTGCGTCATAGTATGACGGACTTTTTTCTACGTCAGTGCTGTTCTGAGTCGAAGCACTGCTATTATTATTAACAGTTATAAATGATCGTTCTGAAGCAGGAACTTGCTGCGATATGGGTATATTATTCTGTTGCACATTCTGATAGGGTCCCGGAACACTCGTATCACTACGATAATCACTGTCGAGCGAAGCACAACTAGATCCATGGTTGCTTGTTATATCATAACCATATTTTTCAACAGTCCATTGTTCATCACTTAAAAGATTAATTTCATCTAATTTACGTTGTAACATCATCGCTTCTTGCTCTGTTAGATCATTCGGTAACTCAAATCTAACATCGCACATAACTGCATTTGGAGTTCTGTTACGTGTCCCGCAAACTTCACCATTTCGTAATTCCACATTTTGATCCAATGAGTACCATACTCCCTCACCTTCTTCGTTACAGTGAGGAACTTTAAGTAATGGTATCCATGCAGTGCCAACTAGAGTATCCCATAATAAACCCTTTTTCCATAGCTCGATGGTAAGTCCCAGATCTAGTCTGTTAATTTCAAACATGTAATCTTGTTCCCATACTGGTTGGTTGCCTTTTAAGCAAATGGTTGAACTTTTGACATTTTGTACTTTCAGTGATACGTATGTTGTCAAACTTTCTCCACTTCCAACAATTTTAGCTTGTTTTACTTTGACGCATAATAAACTCATGTTGATATCAGTGTTTATACAGCTTCATCATTGTAAGTATAAAATTTGATCTTAATTTAAGAATTTATAATTTTATACCTAAAAATGAGATATTGATATTAATTCATTTATAAGCGAACTAGTCATTGGGAGATTTAAGATGATTAATTTTGAATTTTTAAAATAACAATATGCAAATTACGTAAGATGGCAGAATGGAAATTCAATTTGAAGTTCATTTTAGTTCAATTTACAGACCATCTTCTATTGTCATTACTTAAAAAATTTCTGAGGAATGAACAAAAAATCAGTTGCAATTTTGTTCCAAGCTACTCAGTTAATAATACACACAAAAGTCCCCTGGTTCTAGACACAAACCAGCAGAAAATGCAATAAATCACTTTCATTTACAATAATTGAATTTAGCTAGATTGGGTCATACTCAATCAAACATACCCCGCTGATAGTAGAAAAGAAAACATTGTTCTACAATAACATTTGAGAAAAAGAAGTTAACGAATGATATCCATAACAATGGTATGCAATATTTCACTTTGGATAAAAATATAATGACCAACAAATTTATTATAGCTTGTTTCCTTGTTTAAAAAATTGTTTTAAGTTTGACCATATTCATGTTAGAAACTTCCAGGAAACTATAGAAGTTAGAAGGTCTATAATAATTAGTTTCCTGTAGTACATTTCAAATGAGTTATAACATACCGTAAGTTATATTACATTACAACTATACAAGCCATAACCAAAATCGGAGATAAAAGACACTTGTTCGCCCTAATCTTCAGTTCAATTTAAGCGAGACTAACTACCGTACATACGCGATGGTGAATCCATATGTGTATAAAGCAAGTATGCTATTGATTCCAAATTTATATAAACAAAAGTCTTCAACAAACTTGGGTAATGGGTAGTCAGCAGATCGAATAATATATTAAAGCAAAATTTACACATGCTAGAAATCATTGCATCATATACACACACTGATCCACGAGTTCAAAAGCTTAGAAGATACTACACTACTAAGTCGCTTGTTACAACATTATACAGCCATGGACAATTTAAGATAAACAACATAACAGCCTGACAAACATTTTCATTTTCTAATATCACATTCCCAATTCATCTCCAAACATTGGGGAAATATTGATCAGTTAAAACCAGAATTGATTTTCCATTCATGAGGTGCAGTTCTGCATTTCAAGAAAATATTGATCTGCAATGAGCATCAGAGTACCAAATCCCTATTGAGGCATCAGATAAGATTATATTGGTGCCACTTTGGTATGATTTTAGTAATAACCTTATAGTATAACCTTATTCAGTATAACCTTACCTTAACCCTTACCCAACGATGACAGGGTTAGGAACTAAATAATATAAAATGTCTTTATGCGATTGAGATCACATACCAATGTGCCACTGATTACGGCATTTACATAAATGCATATTAGTACTATTGTATATCGTAATACTAAATGACAAAAATAGGACAGTCAAGATTTTGGAAAATAAATATTTCTGTCTAGTTATTTTTACACAATCTTACCAACAACCTACCTATAACCTATACACAACAACCTATATACAATACATTATATCAAGATAACAGTACTGAATAATTTTTGGAAAACTCTATATTAATAATGATAATCATACTGCTAAAATCATGACAATCACACAAAAGCACCTTGTTTCACAACAATTTGATATAAATCCCAATTGCATTTCATTTAATGAAAATTGTTTCAATAAGTTGAGTAAGAGCAGGGACGCCCAAAGTTGAATATTTTACCATTTCAAATAGGCCTACATTTTGAGAATATATTTCAGTATGGAATATCGAATACATTCTAAATTAGAGGCACATTCACATATGAAAAAATTTTGTGAATCAGTAATCAGTATATCTTTAAGTTGATCATTTCTAAAGCGACATTATTTCTTTGTGTTGTTTCTTACCAGTTGGGATAACTTACGGTATGTTTTGATCTACAGGTCGGACATCCCAAAATCCCCAATTTTTAAATAAAAATGTTCTAAATTATTCCTTAATTCAAAAATTTACTAAATCGTTTACAATGAATTTCATATGTATTCGAATATTTGATTCGTTTTGGACATCCCCGGTAAAGAGTTAATTATTACTTATTTCGATTTTCCCTATTTTAGTTCTATTTTGAGTTTGGGGACTGTCTGTGTTAGCCAGGTGAATATACCCCCTGCTCATAGGTTTCAGTCCCTTTACACAACTCGATGTAAAATAGGCGAACAAAATTAGTTACCTCCATATTGGTACACACACTTCTGGAGCGCCGACAATCTACACGGGGACTACACTTAGTCGTTAGTCCTAACAATACACTTCAAGACAAAAAATTAGGAAATTTCAATGCGAACAGTGCAAGATAATAAAGACTAAGTTGTATAACATCTGTTTTGATGAATAAGAAAATTTTTTCAAAGGTAGAACTGGTCAGAGGAAGGTCCCAAAGCATCACCTCAACAAAAAGTAGCAAGACTCTTACTGTTATAATGGGCAAATCAATATCGCTGATTCTTCCAAATTGTAACCCAACCTAATGAAAATTGAATTAATTTGATCTTAGTGTTCCCCCACCCTTAACCAAGCCCGACCCTAGCAGAGCATTGAGTGCAAAAAAAATAAAAAAGAGGTTCCTAGTTAGGGTCACATATATATGCGACACTGAGCTGCATGAATAAAATGAGACGTAGAGCTTCTAAGAATATTATGAGATGATTGCTATTAAGTACTAACTATCTGTCCAGAGCTCATCGCCGATTAACGGTAATACATTCTAGTCCAGTAGTCCTAATTAAGAATGGCAAATTGATACCGTGGGTACACTTTGGAAAATAGTGAATGCATAAACTAGCATAATATAGAGTTTATTTTAGCTCCTCTGACAAAAATACAGTCAGAAATTAATGAAAAAATAAGAAAATATTTGGGTAACGAACAGAACATGTAATGATTACAAATTACCATCCTTAATCCGACTACTAAATGAAAATATTATGCCCAGCTAATATGTCTGGGGTAGCTAATTTGACTAAAATCAATCATCTCATGGTATTTTTAGAAGATATTCACTCCATTATATTTATGCAGCCCCGCTGCGCAGAATTATGTCAATCACAGATTAATACTTATTATAAGAAATGATATAATTCCAATTTGAACACGCTTAATCAAACATAGCCCACTGATAGTAATAAAGAGCATTATACTACTAGCATTTACAAAGAAGTAATTCTATGGCAAATATAAGCAATACTTTATTATTGAAGTAAATATTAAAGTTTGTCTATAATGGGTCCCCCATCACTATTTCCATTGCTCAGAAAAGTGCATAATTCTTAAGTGCCTACTTTCAATCGTTCTGAAATAGCTTATTTGTACAAATCTGATTTCGGGTAAAATACAGACAAATCAATTTTTCCCCTTCAATACATGTCAAATTCGCATTTATTTACTAGGCTATACAAAAAATCTGAACAACTGGTATATTAGTTTTCAAATATTTAAACAGGTGTATGGTGGCCCATCGTTGTCACTAGTAAAATTTATAAAATAAAATTAAAAATTAAAAACAAAAAAAATTAAAAATAAAAACGGAACAAAAATATAAAAATGCAAAATAACAATTAAAAAAAAAACGATTAAAATGAAAATAAAGAAGGTTGACAACGATCAGACGATGGGCTGTTTGCAAAATTTTTCAAAATAAAAACGCTTTTCTTTTATCAATTTTTTTTTGTATTTTCAATTTTTTATTCCATTTTTATTTTATTAGTAATTTATTTTTTCCACAAAATTTTATCAATTCATTTTTATTTTTTTTTTTTACTTTTTTAATTTTTTTGGAATTTTACTAGTGACTATGGGCCACCATACAGGTGAGTTTAATATCGAATATTTTATTTAAAATAGATCAGAAACTCTTTGAATCATCGAATTTTACTTGATGGGCAAAGTTTTATCGGATTGCAGGGCTAGCAATTTCAGAATTTATATCGTCATTAATGCTTTTCCCTATTCTAAATTCATTCTAAAGTGAACTATCAGCTACTAAATTTGGCACTAAAATTGTAAAACAATTATAACTGATTAACACTTACTTATGACTCAAAACAGTAAAAGCAGTTTAGAATGTTCAGACAGCATTGAACTGCTCTTCATATCCTAACACATACTGTCAGACTGTAGTCCGACTTGCATATACCGTATAGCTGCATAGCCTGATAGTCTACTGATTAGTCCGGAACATCCCAGATTCAGACATAAACATATGGAAACATTTCCATTATGTTCCCATTACAGCATTATAAAACCTATCTATTCCGACTTTGGTATCGACACCGCAGTCTCTCTCTTTTAATACGATAATATCCTGAATATCTGAATAGAATAATCGCACCTTCCCCGATTACTGTACCAAGAATGTATCTCAGCAATGTGCCGCTGTGCGTTATTTATAAGAACGAAGAGTGGTAGTTGGAGTTCATAGAAACGGAACAACATTCCAGAAACGTATGTCACTGGTTGAAATCTCCCGGTATTGCCATTTATCTCTTTTCGCGGGCAAAACCGAATGATGGAAAACTAGAGCAATGAAAATAACGGAAAATACACTGGAAAGTGAAAATTTCACATTGCCAATACTGGCAAGTATTTGCAGGTTCTAATTCACTAAGAATAATTATGTGAGAGAAGGTTGCTGGACTCCTCACCAAAGGCGAAGGCCACCTAATACTATACCCGACATGGTCTAGTAACCGGACGAGAGAACAAAAATGAGTTTATTTCGACTCCCCAATTAGCAACAGGCGATAAAATAATTGATAAAAACACACAAATAAAACTGATTATAGAATTAGGAGAGGAAAAAACCTTAAGTGAGGTTTAAAACGTTCAGAATGGTTAATAAAAGGATTTTCCAAAAAGAAGTGGTACGTGTTCACTCAACTAAAATTATTAGGTCAATTCACACACACTCTCACGAACACACACAACCACTGAGATATTATAAAGTGAGGAAAACGAATTCGAAAAATA